TCCACATTGCACATCCTAGTTGCAGTTGGATCGTAACGAAACCACGATGCAAGATTTATCGTCGGTCATTCATTTTCCCCATTGGGTTCAGTAATGTCCGGCAGGAACGTTTCCGGAATGAAATGAGAAATTTCCGCCGTTTCAACGGAAGATAAGTATCGATTAATAGTAACCATTGCTACTGGTTAAAATGCAATTTATTCATTTGTTTTTATTTACCCATATAGGAATGGAACCAATAAACATCAATGGAAAAAAAAGAAAAATATACAGTGTCAATATTAATTATAATATTCGTGGAATAAATTTCGATTCTAGAGAGAAACAACACAAAAATGTAAAAAAATATCGATTGAGGCTTATTTTTTAAATTATAAACATTTTAGTGAGGTTATATTATTTAGCAATATAGCAGAGATAGAGATATCTATATCTAATGCAAATTTAAATTATTTATAATTCAATAAATAAAACTCAATCAGTTAATAAAATATTTTTATATATTTTTATGTTTATGTGGTCTCTTAAATTCCAAAAGTGTCTCTTGAATGTATTAATATATATATTTATTATATAATATATATTTATTATATTCTATTGGAGCAAATTTGGAATAAAAATGAAAAATAGCTGGTTTTAAAATTTATTCAAAAGAATTTATCATCTTGATGTAACGATGAAAAATTGTATTTGTCGAGCATTCACGACAGGGAACTATTTTCAAGCGTTTATTTCTCTATATATGCTCGCAATATTTTCTTATTCTAAATTTTATATTCGATACGACATGAGATATAGGTGAAATTTATAGGGATCATTGAAATTGCGATAAGCTATCGTTTTATACATGCTATTGATCAAGTGTTTTTTTATTGTTTATGTTATTTTTTTTAATTTTCTTTCATAAATTTATATACGTATACAATAAAACGTCGATTATCAGATCTAATTGAAAAATATTTTGTAATATTATTACATATCATTTTCTTCAAATCTATTCCTTTGGTTATATTGAAATTATCGATTCGATATAAATTTTGCATATATATTTGCAGATATTACAATTTAATCTCATGAATATGATATACTGCTTATCGAAAGATGAATAATTTATGATTCATAATATACATTTCTCTACTTATAACAAGAATATAACACGATCAAACGTGGATCTAGATGGAACATAGTAATTTACATATTTAATTTCTTGATGACTATATAATTGTTTATATTTTAAATGAAGGCTAAGAAGTAGAGAATAAATAAATAGAAATATTTTTATTTTGAAATAATATAGAATTTTACAGATAAATATTTCTTTGAAATAATAATTATACTATTAAATAATAGTATATATATGTATCCTTTGAATTCAGCAAATATAAAATATAAAAATAAAAATATAGGATGCCTCATCCAATATATAATCTTGATTTATTATTTCAAAAATTCAAAAAATTGTGTAAAAAAATAAGTATTACAAAGCTGCATGAGCATTAAAAAACAGTTTATTGTAAAAATTGAATACAAATTTTATAATATTTTAAAATTTTTAAAGAATTAAGAAAACTATTAAAAAAGTGGTTTAAAAAAAAGGTAATGCAATAAATAAATAAATAATAAGTATTTCATATTTTAAATATATCAAATTTCATAAAAAAAATTCCATAATATTAGAAAAATTTCGTATGTTATCCAATTACATTTTGTCCAAATTTTGTATTAGAAGAACATAACTTCACAAGAAGTGACACACAAAATTTTTTCAAGAATTTCAAAATAGAAATTTCCTTCTAAATTTTTATTTTTTATACATTTAGATTATTATTTAGAAAAATATAATTCTAAAAATTTGATGTATTTATGTGTTGAGTTATATTCTCCTGATAAAATTCAATTTTTGAGATGAAAAATTTTATCCAAATGCAAGTGATAGAAGAAGTTAAACTAGAAATTACAATATTAAATATTTTTTTATAATATATATATAATATATATTTTATATATTATTACGATAAATCTTTCACTAAATCCAAGATAAAACGAACTGATTTTCAAGCGGCTGTGAATCTCGAAATTTTGGACAATGGTCATAATTCGAAAAATCCGAGGGAAAGGGAATATAAGCCAGACATAAGAGATGCAGGAAGAGATAAAGGAGAATAGAAGGATAGAAGTTGTCCGGGAGGAAATGCTAAGAGACGAGGGTGCGCCAACTAAAAGGCCACACCCTATCATTCAATACGCATACACGTGTTCAATTAGGCGAATCTAGTAATTTTTCTAGTTTGTTTACCGATAAAATTTATTTTTTTCTTTTTTCTTTTCTACCTTTCTTGTCATTTAATCGAATGAAATTCTTCTGGAATTTCGAATTTCGATAAATGAAAATGACTGTAATAACGAAATTTTTTAATTATTTATTCTTTTTCTTTCTCCCTTTTTCCGTTTCTCACCATTTAATCAAATGAGTGTTCTAGAAATTATTTCGATAATTGAAAATAGTGGTATGTATAATAATGAAATTTTTCTCTCTATTCTATTATTTAATGAAAATTATATTGTTAATTATTATTTTAAATGAAATAATTCTTTGTTTCTCGTTTTATCTCTACAGAAAATAAAATATAGATTAAAAGGAAAGAGAGAGGAATTGAAGAATAGCATGCAAAGTTGCGTGTACGTAGACATTTCGTCTAGACAATCGAAAATCAGTCTGTCTGCCACGAAAAATAATTCCTGGAATGAGTCATAGGCACTCTTATGTACTTTTGCAACCCTTCGCAAACAAAGACATCCAACATGCCTGATCCAACGATTCATCGTGGATATAAATTATACGATGCGATATATTGTTCTAGGAATAATATAATTAAGTAAATTTTATTGTTACGTGAAAAGATTTGAGATTTTTTTCATTTTTTTTTTTTTTTCTTTTCAAAATTTATGAGAAACTTACGAGTGATATTCACGAGTGAAGTAATTATTAAGATTATCTAAGATTTTTGGAGAATTTGAATTCTTACCAATTTAATTCTTGGATTCGATATTTTTAGAAAATTCTTCTATTAAAAATTTACAAAATTTACATCAATATATAAATATATATATATATATTTATATATTGCTTCAGAAATAAGTAGTTAAATTTTTAATATTATATATTACATTATATATATTATATTCTATTATTTAATAATATAATGGTACAAATATAGTTTAAAAAATAACTGAACTATTGTATTTGCTTCTTTATCATATATTGATTTGTAGATATTCAATTATCATTAGAAATCAGTTTAAACTAACTATTTTGGTCGATCATCACAGTGTATCACATTGTATCTCATTTGTTTTGCAATTCTTTTGCAATGATTGTACTCTGAACATATATTATCTTTATGTATAAATGTATGTATAACTTATTGTCGGTATAAGTATGAGAATGTGTATTGTATACCATATGTGTATCTCAATCTCGTCATAGGTTTAAAAGAACAAAGAAATTGTTCAGAGAAACTGGCAATGAATCGAACAGTAGTAAGGCTTATCTTTTAAATAGCCTCGAACGTTTAAAATTAAAAGTCCTTGCGCTAATGATTGATATTATTTTCGTTCGTGGTGAAGAGTGGCCTTTAATAAAGAAAAAACAAAGCCTGAAATCAGAGTAAGAGAAATTTCTGCATGATTCTTTATATATATATATATTTATTAATGATATTCATTAATTTTTAACATTATAGTAACAATTAAATAATTAGTTAAATTAAATTATATTAAGTAATATATATAATATTATATATATTATAATAAATAATATATACAATATTATAAATTTTGTTTGGGATTATTTTTGCATTGTTAAATTTGAAATTATCAGTTTTAAATTGCTAAGTTATAAATTATTAATTTTTAATAATGAAAATTAAATTTATTTCAGATAATTATTTCTCCTTAAGAAGTTTTTTGAATAATATATAAATTAAATAAATCTATTTTTTGATTTTTATAAGAAAATGAGAAAATATTGAAAATAATAAAAAAAGCAAAAAATGTAGACAATATTAAAAAAAAAAGAAGAAACAATTATGTGAAGTAGAATACAAAATGCGTAACAACATTTAATTAAAACTATAGTTAAGTGTTTCACATCTAAAGTGATAATGACGGAAGCCAGTAACCTAGTTGTTATAAATATCATCGTAAATAGAAACCACTGTTCATTCACAGTCCAACAGCATGCTTGAAAATTTAAATATTTTCCATCTAGAATACAAATTATTTTTCAAAATAATTTTAAGAATCGCAAGATATTCATATAGAATTGAACAAATTTTAATGTTAATATTCATAAATATAAAACTTGCAATTTTCAAAATAATAAATATAAAAAAAAAATCTAATTTATAAAAATATTAATAATTATCTTATCATCTGATTTTTCAAAAATAAAAATTATTTTCAATTTTTCTTCAATTACGAAAAATATATAAAAATATTAATTTTCACGAACAATAGATATACAGAATTTAGAATAATACTCAATGTTTCTGACGAGAAATAATATCGTATTAATTGCCGTTTAACCACTGTCTATGCGATGATTTCGAAATTCATTTCAAAACCACAAGTCCAATTTTCCAACCGCCATCAACCAACTACCAAACTGCATGACACGTTTTGGTGAAGAGAAACGTGAGTGAAACAGGCAACTAATTAGTAGACGATCCGTAGACGAGTAGGCAAGTTTGGTTGATGGATTTTAACCAGATATTTGCCACTCAAAACCGATAGATTTCGATATTAGACTATTTCTTTTTTGTTATTATTATTAGATTAGGACAAATTATGAAAAATTGAAATTAAAAAAATTTATTGCTGAAATTGATTTGAAAATATAATATTAATTTGTTAGAAATAGTAGTAATTGAAAATGATTTAAATATTTTATATTTATTACTTATTTCAAATTTAGCAAAAGGAATAATCATTGAAATAATTCCAAACAGAAATTATGATATTGTTTCATATATTAAATTCTGTTGTTTCTATTAAGTTTATGAAACAACATTATTTGAAGTAATTGTTCCATTCTGTTCTATCTAAAATTACTGTTTCAAATTACCTGAAATAATTATTTCGTGTAATTATTCGAAATAATTGTGAAATAAATGATATGTTATTTAAAGTAGTTAGTATTTCAAATCAGTATCGTTTTAAATGTGTCAAAATTTGATTAGAATAAACATTTGTTAATTTTTGAAACAAATTTTAAGATCAGACTTATTAATTAAAATAATAACATTAAAATTTTAATTAGAAAAAAGAAAAAAAAAATTCAACAAAAGTAAATTTATTCAATTTTCAAATATGTTTAATTTAATAATTTACTTATCCTTGATTTCATGTTTAATTTAAATTTCTTAATTAATTCCGACATTGTCAACTTCCGATGGCCCTCGTACCATTCAACGAGACAACGAATAATAACCATCGACAAATATTTATTACATGTATAATAATCATATAATCGCTCAAAGAACACTCATAGTACCGTAAAAATAACTCATAGAATCGATTCGAGGAATTTGCATTACGGTCGTGGCTTTGTCTGTCGATATCCGCTGACTGGCTTCCGGTTACGCAAGACGTTTAGGGTTCCATCGAATGGCCAACGGAAAACGAAACGTGTCTGGAATAATATTGGTTGCGGGAGAATAACGTTAGTCTAAGAAAAAAAAAAGAGAAAAAAAAGGATAATTCTATTTGGCCATCTTCACATACACACCCTTTTTCTTTCTTGGCTATTCTTATAACTCCTTTCGCAGAAGATACAGGATGCCGTTGGAATAAATGAAAATGATTTGGCAACTCGAAATCCTCTTTTCTTAATTTTTTTTTTTTCTGTAGAGCTTAAAATATTTTTCAAGGAAACAAAATTTAATCTTTTATAACATTATATGATTTGAAAATTAAATATTTATGTATAATCTCCATATATTTATGATTTAAATTACAATTAAAAATATAAAATATATAAATAATATAAAAATCAAAAAAATAAATATTTTTCTGAAATAAATGCTATATTCAAATTTTTCTGGCAAAATTTAAATGGCAACTAAAAATTTTAAGAAATGATCTTAAAGTTTATATTAATATTAATTTAATATTCATGGTTTAATAAATAAAGAATAAAAAACTTGAATTGTATAATAATAAAATTTCATTATGATTTTAAAATTAATTATATTAATAATTTATCTAAAAAAATATAAATATTAAATTTAATAATTAAATCAATAAATTAGATTAAATTTAGAAGTTAAAATTAATAAAAATAAGTATCAACAATTAAAAATTTACAAATTAATTTATTTTAATAGATTAAAATAACATATATGAAGAACATTGATACTAATAAAATTATTAAATATAAAATATTAAACAATTATATTAAAAAAGAATCAAGTATAAATTACTCATCATAATTAATTTCCAATGTGATAGATGTCCACTGTGCACGATCCCCATGTTCGGGAGTTAATTACCATTTAACATGGTGCATGTATATCCAGCTGGTTTTAGCTAAGTTTGTCTCAGGATCAGAGTTATCCACTAGCCGCTAAAGGGATAGAAGGTTGGTTACTAGGTTAAAGCAAAATGGCCATGAGGATGGAAGGTTAGCAAGTAAAGAGGTAGAACACTACTCGCGAGAGAGATTTAGAGGGCTGTAGACTGAATACAATGGACCAGCGTAGTGTCTTCCAGTTAACTGTCGCCTGCTCTTCAATTAACTCGAGTTTCGTCCAGTCTAATTACCTCCACGTTTAGTCGGATACTCTCTCTGTACGTTGAAAAGTGATCTCGTGGCTGGGAGATTTGCATTTTTATTATTCATAGGTTTCCTGTTAATATATTCGTATATAACACATTTGAAGAGTTGATTCTAGAAATTAAAATAAATAGAAAACTTGAATATAAAAAATATCAGTTGAAGCTTATTAATTATAAATTTAAATAATAAAATAAGTCATGGTTGTACAAATAGGGACCATTAGATTTAAAAATTTGGAAAAACAAATTTTAAAAAGATCAAAAGTAAAAAATAATAAGAGTTTAGATGAGAATAGATAAGAATAGGTAAGAAATAGAAAAGAAATTTATTTTTCTTTTCGTGTCTTATCTTTACTCTTGAAAAAGACCAATGGAAGACAGTCAGCAAGGACGCTAGCATACCGGAAACCAGGTCAACGAGGTCAAGTGTCCAGTCGATCGTAGTGACCCTCGTTAAAAGATTTTAATTCGAGAAGCAGTTTGCTGATACATCATATGAAGAACGTGTTCAATTGCATTTCTACTAAAATTATATCTTCTTTTTTTTTGATACAATTCTTATATTTTATTTACAATCACGTTATTATAATTATGACTATAGAAATGGAAAGGAAAAGAAAATGAATAGAATAGAAGCTAATCAACATAACAGAGAAAAATAAAAGAAAATAGATTAAAACGCCAAGAGAAAGTAATATGACTACAAAAGAAAAAATGAAAAACTTTGTGAGAGCTTGACAAAAGGTTAAGAGACGAAAACATAAAAAATAATTGAAAAAAAAAAAAGCTGAATAGAATACGTAGATACGTTTAAATATCGCATGTTTAAATATGGAATTATTAAAAAAAGAAGAGTATCGAAAATAAGTATAAAATAATAATCAATATTACTTACTCTCTTTCTCTAAATCTTTTTCAATAACAAATATAGGTATTCTCAACATGCATCTACAAAATGAACCAATTAATAATAATTGAGCTTGCTACCTGAGGATAGATTGTTTGTAATTTTAATGCCAAATTAAATCATAAATTATAAAATTATGTTTCGATAAATCTTATATATAATATATTAATATTTAATATATTATGTATATTGAGTATATGTTTTTATACTAAACCACCAATCAGAAATCTTACATGATGATCGCGCCATAGGGACTTTTCTATTAGTTAATTGTTTTACTCTTCTAATAGATGGCCTTCTCTCCGATTTTTCTTGTTTTCTTCCAGTTCATATTTTAATCTTGAATAAACGGTTTTGTGTAATATCATGTGTACATATCTTTGCTTTTCATATTTATAATTTCATATTTATATATATCACAGTATAAGAAATATTTCAAGATAGTTTTAAAATTTGTTTATAATTCATTCCTCTTTTCTCATGATAACCTTAAAATTTACATGTGTTCTTTCTCTTCACGATAACCTCAAAATTTGCACAATTCATATTCTTTCTTTTCACTTTTTCTTTACGTCACTGTTAAGTTAAAATAGATGAAGAAAGATAAAGAAACAGTGTGAAAACTACCCTCGGTTTTCTCGGTGAAATTGAATTCAGTACTTTGACGCTAGCTTATGCAAGAGTGGTAACCTTATCCGCGGATGAAAAGGTATACGTGTTGGCAGTCGAAAGAGCAAGGTCATCGTCTTTTCTTCCGCAAGTTGTTTGTTGGTTGAATGTAAAGGGAAAAAGCCACGTAAAGGAAACTCGGTCATGGCTGTCGAAGACGATAGCATTGGTTGAGCACGATGTAATTAGTAACGCGGTGAAATAGTTGAATACACATAGTGGTATGTTTGCAAAAGAGATTGTGGTTATTGATGTTAACTGGATTTGCAGTGATAAACATGTATTTTGTGTTTTAAACTTCAAGTCATTTTTCTCATTCTTTTTCTTTCATGCCTTCATTCACTTTCTTTCGAACTGTCTAGCTTTACAATAGAAAGGAAGAGTCATATATAAACGAGGATTGTGAATGCCCCTACGACAGAAAAGAGACGAAGATGAATGGAACGATTGTTTTTAAACGGTTCTGATGTTCCTTAGTTTATCTTTCCTTTTATGATTTCACCTTTATTCTTTGTTGGATAATTATTGTTATAATGCTTATTATATGAGTTTTAAAAAATAATTTTTAAAAACTGCACAATTATAATTTAAATTCTATAAAGCAAAACAATTTTTTCAAAAAATTCATTTCTTAAGAATTAAATAATTATTTTGATATTTAACATTATTGAAAAATTAATTTTTACAATGAAAATCAAAAAATATATTTCTATAATTTCTTTGAAATAATATCAAAGCGAATCTTGAAATTAATTAGAAAATCAAGATTAAACATTGTAATAATAGTTATTTCAACAAATAATCCCAGTCGGTTCAAAGTCAAAGATTTTCGAAAGAGGAATGATCTCTTTCATCAGCTCAAGATATTCACAAGGTGGCGTGCTTGTCGCGACGCCATCTATATTCTTAACAACGTGTCAGTTAGCCGCGAAACGTCAGATTTTCAAGCAAGAAAACTGGTGATTATGATGGTGACAAAAAAGGAAAAAGAAAGAAAAAGGAGGAAGGTTTGACGTCGCCTGGGAAACCATTTCTTATTTCGATCTCTCGAGTGTTTCCCTTCTTTCTTTTTCATTCCAATCCTTTGACAACTCGTGCGAATGCGATATCTTTGTTACAAATGCGTCAAAGTTTCGAGCATCTAAGCGGCCATAATTGTAATCCAACGCAGCTTCTCTTCTTTTCAAACGTACCTTTGTAGGATTCCGAGAATCCTCTCGACAGATTCACCAGTGAGGTTTGAATGCTTCGTCGCCATTTTAATAATCCCAATTTTTATGCATTGACGCGATCCAGAGATGGAAATATCAAAGAACTATAATTTTTTTTTTTTTTATAATTTTTTTTCTTTTTTGATGGAATTTATTAAAGTTAGATGAATTAAAATTATGACTGATCTAGAATATTCAAGTATATTAAAATTATGAAATTATAATTTTTTTTTTTTGAAGATGAAATAAATAAAAATTAGATGTAATCTAGGATCTTATACTAAGAAACAAATCTCTTTTTTACAACTTTTTTTATTACATGTAATATACTTAAAAAAAAAGTTACATCGTGTAGTATAAAATCCTCGATTACCAAATACAGAGTTACCAAGAATTTTCTATCATTTTCATCGTTCTCATTTCCAAACATGGATTTAATAAAATGTATGGAATACATGTTATACGCTCCTTGACACAAATCGAACAAGGATAAAACTATTCAGGAACGCTAGGATCGACCGAAAAATATCTTTGCCAGATGACATTCCACGATACATATTATCCTCCTTAAATGGTACTGCAACCACTGACGTAGCCATGTTTAACCGGTTCCCAAAGTAAATTGAAAGATTCAGAGTACAATGCCAGATAGATATCACTTATTCAGTTGTTTCCTATATATGGATTAATGAGTTCAGTTACACTTTATTCTACTTTTATTTATTTTATTTGAAACACATTATTACTACTAAATTATATATAAATTTTTGTAATTGTTATTTCTTAAAACTTCTTTAATTAAAAATATTTTAATTAAGATTTAAGAAAGACAATTTAAATTATTTATTTCTAATTTTCTAATTTTAATATTTCAGATGTTAGAAAAATTAAAAAAAAAATTGTTAAATTGAATATTTGAAACTTTTTTTAATCATCAAAAAAATTTTAAAAAAGATATTGAAAAATAAAAATTTACCAATGATGGAATAAGATTTGAAACAATGCTGGAAGTTTTATGATCCTCTTTTGTAATATTCAAATTATATACTTTTTTAACATAAATAATATTATTCTTTGATTAATAAGAGAATGATTTTGATAGAACATGATAATTATATAATTATAATAAAATAAATACTAAAGATTATTAACTAAAAATAACAATAACGATTACTAAGAAGATTGAGATCCATAGTCTGAAAACCACTGTTAGTATATAAGAGACACTTGACCCTAGTTATACGTGTTAATCTTTCAATACCTCATAGCGATTAAAAAAACACTGATACAATACATTAATCATACATTTTATATCTAAACTTTCTGACAGTTGAACTTCTGATTTTAGGAATATATTTTTTAAATATATAATTGATAATAAATACATAAAATAAATCCAATTAAATTTGAAAATATTTTAAAATCTGTGACGCCTCATTCATTTTAAGTGAAGAAAATTGTTAAAGAAAAAGTGATATATTTTTTCTTCTTCATCTAATTTATTTCTTTTACTGAAATATCTTTATTTCAGAAGAAACTGAATGAATCCTGTTTATAGATCGCGTTCCGGTATAACGCAATCTTCTTTAAAGTCTCTCGTCAATCATATTTTTCCCTTCATAATTGTATCGCGAGAAAAATGTCTTCCATTTTCTTGACGAAAAGAGAAAGAGGATACGCATGAGAAAGTTAACGCGATAAACATTTCAATCTTGTTTCATTCCATTGATACATCAAACATTATTCACGATTGAAGATATGTATATATATATTATATGTATATATACATATGGAAAAAAATTTATTCTTAATATAATTCAATTATAATAAAATTCTTCAAATTTCAAGTGATTCTCAAATGATATCGAACAGAAAAGAAATTGACAAAAAGAACAAAGAACGCACATTCATATTTTGCATTATATTAGATTACATCGATGCAGAATCATTATTTTATATTTGTAGGTTATGGAAAATACGAAATTTCGTGTCTCGTCGAGCAAACGAAATAATAAATTTCAGAAAGAATCAAAACTAGAATTTATAATCACTCCAGGATTGTGGACTTGTCTCCCAAAGTAAACTGTGCATAGCATGTCTGTCTTCTGCAGCAAATTTATGCGAGGTGGGTACATAATTCAAGAAACTATTCGAGACCACCTAGCTATCTCGTTGAGCTCTTGCAAAAGTTTTCGTAAAATTGAATTTGCCCGTTATTGCAATTTTTTAAATTTCTTTTATTGATTGTCTTATACTTTAAATTTTTTATAAAATATTCCGTTAACGTGTTATTTAATATTATATTAGATATTAAAAATTTTTGAGGTTATGTTAGAAGAAATAATTATTTTGATTTAATATATATCTTCAATATGATTTTGCTGATATAAAACTAGATATTATAAACAACAATATCGAAATAATACCAATATTAATCCTAATTTTAAACTTGATTCACTTTATTAAAAAATAGATCTCTATCTTCAATTACATATTGCAACAATTTTCTATGGAGCGAACAGTATGTTCCTCTTCCGGTGAACTATCACGTTAATGCTTCTAGTTATCTTCTATCTCACAATCACGTCCTGATAAAACCGTAGATTTACTAGACTTAAAATTCTCTTCTCTGAATTGGATCATTTTCTCAAGATACCGTATGAAATTTGATAATAATTATTTTTATTAGAAGAATTTAAAGAATACTATAAAGTACTAGAAACTATAAAAATAAAAATCAAAAAAAAATATATATATATATTTTCATTAAAACAATAATAAAGTCTATCTAAATTACCCATTTTCATTTCTGTTTAATCTAATAGAAAATTTCACACAATATCTTTATCATCTTTAAATATTTAAAACATTATACAAAATAATGCTTTTTGTCAATTTAATATTACAAATCAAAAGAAATGAAAATAATTTCATCGATGATTCGTGCATTGTATTTCTTTATTTGTATTGTACGCTTGTATTTTATCATTTTGTTTTCTTTTTTTGTTTCAGCAAAATTATCTCATGAAATTCGGATATCTACCCCAGTCGGATCTAGAGACCGGAAACCTTAGAACGGACGATCAGCTTACGGACGCCATTAAAAATTTACAGGTGAATGAGATATTTTGAGGATGTTTTCGAAGCTAGAAATTCTGCTATCCTTGTGTGAATCGAGCACAAAATGAAATTGCGGAAGCATGAAAAAATTAAATGAAATAACCTTCTCATATTTGTCTATGTCTTATCATTTTATTTATTTAATTTTTCTTAAAAAAAAAGAATATATTCTATTATTTGAAAAATACAGTTATCTATGACACGTTAAATAATAATTTTTATATTATACACGTTTTTTTATATTATCTACTTATGAATAAAAGAAGAATTAAAATACAAAAAATAATATCTATATCATTTCATATATATCATAATGATAATAAATGATAAGAAATTTGTGTTAAATATATTTAATGATGTGATAAGATACTTACATAGAATCATCTATAAAAGTGTTTAGATATTATATATCATATTATAGATAAGTAAGAGTAATATTTAATAATTTTATTATATTAATATATTATTTCTTAATTTAGAATAATAATAAAGCAATTCTTAGTGTTTTTTACAATTAATATATTAATATTATAATAAAATCTTGTACAATTTTATTTTAATATAAATAACTTTTTCAACTTATACAATACTAAATCAAACTAAATTTTTATTAAAAAAAAATAGGAATATTTTAAAACCTTTGAATAATAAGAATTTAGAAACTGCAAAAATTAATTTCAAAACCTAATTCCAAAATAAAAGATTCAAGGAAACGATATTTACGTGGCAAATGTCCATTGAAATTTTGATCGCACTACAAAACTTTGATCCCCGTGGATTCGATTGTCGAAACCGTTTGAGTGGAATCGTGTTCCTGTTTCGTTTGGATGATCCCACCGATCAATCCTTCGGAACAGTGTATCCTTTAGTCGATGGTCGAAATAAAGAGAAAAAAGAGAGAGAGAATAGAAAACGAAGATAAATCTACAATTGAGGGAAAACGACGTATTGTTCGTCTGACAAGGATTTACATGAAAATCGACCTCGTTAAACGCATAAACGGAAGCTGTAGTTGCTTTGATTCTTCTTGATAATACGTAAGCTTTAATTTCTTATATGAAAAATAATTTTAACGTTTTCCACATTATTCTTTTAATGTAATATTTTATAGTATTTTTATTAGCTAAATAAATTAAATAAATGAACAATAAATATATTTATTGTTGGTATTGTCGATAACAAATTTTAATTTTTTTTATCTTTTTTTATAGAAAAGAAGATGTTTCTATCATTAATAATTCATAAAAAGGAATTTCTTTACTTTATTATATTTTTTTTTATAATTTATATAAGACACAGAAAAGAGAGATTATTATAAATGGATGTCTAGTAAAAAAAAAGAATAAATAAAAATTAGTGAATTATGAATATCATTAAAAACAAAAAATTCTACTAGTAACTACAATAGAATAAACTAATAAATTTTTAAATAATAATCCATAATAATTTCTAAAAATAATAATATATATAAAATAATAATAACTTATAAAAAAAAAACCAAACTAAACATGCAGCAATAGTCTTTACTGTTACTTAAATACAAAAAGAAAATAAATATTTTAAAATTAATAAAGAAAACTTAAACAAAGAAGAAAGAAAAGTTAAGTATCGATCCCCAAGACCAAAGTGAAATACTTTTGAAATAACTGTAGTATCGGTATAACATTGGGTCCTATAATGTTAAGAGAATTTTCGTGCAATAGGAAGGAACTCGATAAAGGAGGAAATTATGTATTCCAGGGTGGAAAAGATGGTTGTTCCTTGTCACGAATAAAAATAAAACGGGTTCCCTATCCCTGAAACCCGCCCTCCTTTGAAAGTTCGAGTGCTCTTTCCCAGTGGAGAACGGCAAGTCAGAAAGAACGGTTGAGTTATCGCGTCCTGTTCAACTACGGGAAAAGAACTTTTCCACAGGGTTGGTGAGGCTTCGCGCCACTGGATAAAAGTACGATCTCGTACAAGTTTTCACAGAGAGCAAACTACTATTTTTTCCTTTTTTTTTTTCTTAGGCAAACATTTACTTCAGATTCACTTTTTTTTAAAATATAAAAGTATTCTATCATTTTTTATTATCATTATTGTAAAGTATGCAAAAAGAGATCTATTTTTATATAAAATTGATTTTATACAATTCATTGATCATTGCTTGGAATTATAATGAGAATTTATTTATGATCTATGAAAAAGATAATTTTTGTGTTTCCATAAATTAGAGAATTTTTTTGAAATGAATAAAAATTAGTTTTTGAATTGCTGCTTAAAGATGATGAGGAATGTCAACAAGTGAGTAATTTTATTTTTCGATGGTGATGTTTATATTTTTATATTGCAATAAATGGTAAGGAATAGTTTAGTTAATTAGTTTATAAATGAATTTTTGCATGCAGAATACATTGAGTATAATTTTATGTTAAAAATACGTATCTATAGTAGATATTAGTGATTTAAAAATTTGGAGAAAAAAATACAAAACGTTTGGGAAATAATTAAAACAAAAATTGTTTAAAACATATATATATTTAATACTTCCCTTTAAAAATAAATATTTTGTGTTAAAATGAAAAACAAATAAATAAAATATAATTAGTTTATAAATAGATAAATCTGAAATGAAAAAAATATTTATACGTTTTCATTTTAACTCTAATGAATATTAACTTATTTTTTTTAATGCACCCTATTCAATATGCACCTTTTTAAATAATTGTTATTAAACATATTAAAACTTACTTAAATATTTTTAGTTTTTATGAATGTTTCACGAAATATGATTATATTGTAAACATTGACATATTATAGTTAGAAAATAAAAATTTTATTTTATCCTATATTATTTTTTCCATTAGAGATTCGGTGGCATTCCTGTAACTGGTGATATCGACGAAGCTACTATGAAATTAATGAGGCTTCCGCGGTGCGGACTTCCGGATAAAGTAGATCCTAGATATACTAGAGTCAGGCATAAACGGTACACGATCCATGGGCAACAATGGCCACATCGGAATCTCACTTGGAGGTAAGTTGATATTTCTTTCAAAATTTATAAAAATTGAAAATTATAATCTATTTAATAAACCTATTTAATTTATAGTATTAGATACCATATCTCTTAAAATAAAACAATTTTTCTCAATAAGCATAATAATATGGATATATATATTATTTCAAACATGGTATAATATTTATGTGAAGAAAGTATATATTAGCATATTATAAAATTAAATCAGATCCATATGAAAGATTTCTTCAAATTAAATAAGAGTTTATAAGGTTAACTTAAATTGTACTTTCTAAATAAATTCCATCTAGTCAAGTCTGTATATGTCACTTGCTCTAACTGAAAAGCAGACGTGTCAGCAGAAACCAGTTCCAGGATAATGATTCTGTGCACGTGTAGCAATTATTCGTTGAAGATTCTCTAATTGCCATCCTGTATTGCACAAGTCTCCGAGATTTCTCCGCGAATAAAATTTTCCTCCAACGCATCGTTGTCTGGAAAAGCCATTGACATTGTTGGTCTTCAGCCAATGGAAAATTTCTGCTTGCAAGTGATTCCCTCTTTACCAATTGACGAACGTGTCCTTTCTTTCTGTTCTTTGTAGAAAACGATTGCAATCATGCGAATGATTGTAAAAGTCGCATTGATTTTGCATTTCGAGCAAAAAGAATTGCTAAACTCATTTTTCTGGAAGCTTCTCTTTGTGTCTGTCTTTTATCTTCATCTTTCAATATAAATCAGCTGAATTTTCAATAACCGGTGATTGTTCATTCAATCTGACAGGAGTTGGACAGAATTGAACGATTTTATAGATTGTCCTTTCTGATTTTTGGTGGCAGGTTTGAAAAAAATTATAAACATATTTGTGCAATTTTGAGGAAATTTTAATTATATATAATAATAATAATTAATAATATTCAAGAAGAATTTTATTTTTCGAATAATTTTCATAAAGATAGTCCATAGAATCCAAAAATTTGAAAAAAGAGAAAAAAGTTAGGTTAGAGTTTCATTATCTCAAAGAAATTATTCCAAATTCTTAGCCAATAAGACATGTTTATATAAATACATTATTATTTATCATTGTTAAAATATAGTTGATGATATTCGAGTGATTGTCAAGATACACTATTTTAGTAATTATATAGTAGTTTATACATAGTTAAGATATACGTTATTCCGTTCACGCAGAATTCACTATTAAAATCAAAAGGGTACATTGACTCATGCTAGATGGCGTTGAGTAAAGTGCAAAGAAAATATTTCCAGGCGTGTTAACTGGAAAGCAAACGATTTCAAATTGAATTTATTTGCCATCGCGATAATTGGACGTGTCACGTAAAAGAGAACCAATACGTACGAATCATGTTATCCGATCAGATGACAAAAGAGAGAGGGTAAAAAAAATGTAATTGAAGGGAGACAAGTCGGGGTACAGTTAATTCAATTATCTTGGACTCGTTACTATCCTGCCGTCTGGGGAAACATGGAGAGAAGTCAAGGCTACGAGCATTTCGGCGAATGTAACAGTTCAATCGAAAAAGGAAAAAGAAGAAGATTTAATAAAAAAGAAGCTCAAGATAGAAAAGATCATTTGCATTCATATCTTTATTGACTTATTGAAATTCGTTGATATAGTTCTAAAGAAAATGAAGAACTAATAGATAATATCAATGTTCATAATACAAAGAAAATGAATTTTCAAATAAATTACAAAAAATAGTTTTAAATTATATTTTATTATAATTTAATTAAAAAGAAATATATATATAAATATATAGTTCAAGAGAGAAGAGAGAATTATTCTTTTTTTTTTATAATAAAATATAGTTTATAAACTATTTTATTATAAATTACAAATTTCTCAATTTTTATAAATTAAAATTTATTTGCAAAATACGATTTTTTTACCGTAGAATATATATGGAAAATTATTTCAGTTGATACTGTAGTTTTCTAGTGCGTCCATTATCCATTGTCGGTATTACGACTTCTGCGATACCGATTACGCAGTATCGTAGCATAGTGCTGTGGCGCCCCCTGAGGAAATATTGTATTTGAACATTAGATATTAAGTGCGCAACGAATACCTGTATCATAAGTTCTTCATATCAGTTGTTATAGAATTAGTTACAGATTTTATAGAATATAAGTAACGCTTAAAATGTTTGGAGAATGTTGTGTTAGCTGCAAATGAATTTTTAGCGCGTGTCCGGCGTAATAATCGAGGTAGGATATAAATAATACAAGGTTCGTTAGTATTTAGGGGTTCTAATTAGCGAGCGCAAGGGGTGAGCCATCGTTCACCTTAATTGCGCGCCTTAACGACCAGACCCAGCCGCATGGTGTGTCGCACGAAAATTTCGCGGTAATTTCGTCGGGATGTCGAGCACGATGATAGTCCTCGAAAATTTAAGGTCCCCTTTCTAACGAGAAGAAGAGAGTTAATCAACGCTTGTCAATAAAACGACGTAGTGAAATGATTAGATTCGTTAGATAGCTCTGCAAACAGCATTTTAATAGCTAAAGGAAACGCATAATTATATAACACATAATAAAAATATTTACTTTTGACATATGAGGTTATACAAATTATATTCGCTTTCGATGAATTTTTTTATGTTTTAGAACATAAATACATTATATATTTATACATTTTTTTCATTATTAAATTTCCTATAAATACATAACCATTCATTTGACTTGTAAAATTTTACCAATATAACATTAATTATTTCAATCGTGGTAGAGGGCGCCAGATGTCTGTATTCCCGATACAATAAGCATAATGAGAAAAAGACACACGCTATAGTGCTATAATAATCAACAACTGTATTTCCTTTTTACCGATGATAATTCTATATTTTAAAAAATGAAATAATATTAAAAATGGGATATATTTTTGAAGAAGAAAAATCATCTCGAAGTGATGAAAAATCTGGAATGAAAAATCGGGGCAACAAGGTTTTCCACTGTAAAACGGGTTCCTGCTAATTTCGAAAGGTAGCGAGGAATGAAAAAAGTTCGAGCATCGTTCAAAGTGTAGCGAGAAGCTTGCTCGTTCCAGAAGACGCGAAAGAACCTTGTAGCGACCCTCTTACCCCTCATCCATGAACCACCTCTCGTTTTCTTTCTTCATGCTCACGCGACGGCCAAAACGCGATCTTGAATATTAAGCCGGCAAGGCTTAATCTCTCCTAGTAATTTAGGTCAGTATCTATTAATTTTTTCCTGTGGTCCGTCATATTCGTGAATTTCCAAACATGATACAATATTTCGATACGTTAAAATATTAAAATATTTATCGATAAATCAAAAATTGAACGAATATTCATTTTATTATAAATTTTAAAAAAATTTGAATTTATATGATATATTAAATAATTGTAATTCTTTTATGAAAACAATATTATAATATTCAAAGTATAATATCTAAAGTTTAAAAAAAAAGAGAATAAATTGAGTAGAATTTTTAAAATATAATTCCATCTATAAATCTTATTGATATCAATTTATAATAATTATCTTGAAATTGTCAAGTTAGGTTAATTAGACTTGATAATTTGTTCAAGAAGAGTTTACTATGATGAAGTAAAGGGAATAATGGAGGGCGTAAGATAAGAGCAAGTATTATTATAATACTTTTCCAATACTTTTCTCAAGTTCAAATTTCAAGTTTCTTAAGTTTATATTAAACATAATATTATTACATTTAGATTTTCTAAATTCATATTAATTAAGAAAATTATGAATTTAATACAAATATAATTTTCGCATATTATCTTATTTATTATTATTGTATTATTTTTTTTAAATAATATTTTTTTTTGAATTTTAATTCTGAATTGTTAGAATAACATATAGTTAAAAAAATAGCAAATTGTCTATATTGTTTAAACAATTTATTTATTAAAATTTTACTTGACAAATAATTTTAACAATAAAAAATCAAAATTAATAAATGAACAAATAATCATATAAATTAAATAAATTAATATAAATTATAAATTTATTTATAATATATATATATATTATCTTGAATTGGTTGTATGAAAACAATACATTTGCATCGATCGTAATTTTAATCAAACAATATTTCCTGATATATTTGTCAATACAAATAACGATATATCAATACAACATGATATATTAATACTATTATTTGATTTTTCATTTAACATTTGAAATTCAATGAAAATTTTAATATTATCGATTTCTCTTTATTTCGTATAATTAAATTTATTTTCAAACATCATTTTCATTCAATCGCAATTGTTATATTAAAAATAACTGTTTAATTTTTAAAATAAAAAAAAGTGAGAAATCAATAAAAAAATTAAATCGAGATTACAAAATATTTAAATTTTTCGTGTCAGTTAAAACTTCTCGTGAACGCTGATGGGTTAATTTAATGATTCTCTCGATTTCCATGGTGTAACGAAGTCACGATCAAAGAAACGAGGATTTCTGATTGAATTTCTTTGCCATTACGGCGATCGACGATTGCCTCGTTAGGTTAATGGATACATTAAATGTTAACGCAATATTCAGAAATAATTTTCGAATAATTGTGTCTGAACGCCATCATAGTGGATTTCAATTAATCGAAAAGTCGAATACTTTGATACTAAATAAGCTAATACGATATATTGAAATTCTCAACATTTATCCACTTTCATCGGATGAACGAAATTAATTTATTATAAAAAAAATTTTTCATATTTTACATCTCATGATAATCCAATAATCGCATTATATTAATTTATTTCAGAGTCTCAATTTTTAAAATTATTTTCTCACTGGTATTACTTGAAGATATTGAATAAGGGAACCAAGGTTTTACCAATCTTGCGGTTCAATGAGGCTTCGTGTACTGATCAATTTCATCCTAAAGTTTCTTATTTCAAGGGTGGTTAACCTTCTCTGTATTAGTGTGCTCTCGTATACAGACTATCTTATTTAGAAAAAAAAAAGAATCTTTTTAAATTTCTCGAAATAAAAAAGGAGTCTATAACCTA